CCTCCCTCATTCACCAACTATACCCTTTTAGTAGGCAAATGTCATTCGGAATGTAATAAGATATTGTCTAGTCATGACGTATTTCTACTGGGCTTTATGCACAATTCCCAATATATCCAATAGGAATAAATACAACGAACTAATTAAAATCCGATTTCTTCGGTCTACTACCTATATATCATTTTAAGCAATTCGTAATTAGTTCACTAGAGGAAAACCTGTGAAATGTTTTTCTTTCAATAAATCTTTTAAAGACTTAAAGGTGATACTGGTGGATGCGTCAATCACAGGGGAATGAAATCTTGGAATCGTTGCAGGCTCAAAAAGTGGTTTGGTTTTTTTACAATGACCCATACGAATAAAAATTGTGCAGATAAACAAATCGTTCAAGCAAGTTTAAATTACTTTCACCCACCTCCTAATTTGAACGCTCTCTTTGCAGTCTGCATCAATAAAATCAAATAGGGTAAAGTATGGCAAACTTGGCTAATTCAACAATTTTATGATATTAGAAAAGTCATTGGCGACTTTTTCTTCACAACCCGTTCAAAATAAGTTAGAAAACGTCCCTCATTTGATAGCATCTCACATGCTCTTTTGGCATCGATTTTCCTGGCATTAGAACTGATTTATTAGGAAATTTGGATATGTGAATTGAATATTAAATGGAAAGTTGTTTCCTTTTTTTGTTTAGATAACTTACCATATCAAGGATGAGATTATGAATCCTGCAAATCAGGATTTCCGAGTGACAGCTGATGGAAGAGTGTTGGTTGCCAGAGAGACGCTTGACAGAGAATCGACAGCCACCTACCACTTCACTGTCGTGGCTATTGACTCGGGAAAGCCTCCACTGTCAGCCACTGCGCAGGTCAGTCAAAAGCCAATTCAAGTTGCCCAACTCTGAAGTCTTTCGATTGTTTGTCTGATATGGAATGATTGAAATTTTCTATTTGAAGCTATTAAGCAAAAAGATATGTGAAATATATTCACACTTTTAGGTTGGAAATTAGGTTAATTCATATTTTGAAATAAAAGCTATTCAATTTAAAATCAGAATAGCGTATAATATTTCAATCTTCTTAAGCGAGATTAATTAATTGGTTTGTGGCTTTCGAAGAAATGGACAAACAGTGACTATTTTATGGATTATGAGACAGAAAAGCCATCTTTGCATACGCAAATATCATAGCAAAGATATTTTTATTTTTCTAAATCCTCGCATATTAGGGAATCAACTCGTCCATTTGTTCGAAGACCTAATCACTTCCACACTGGAAGTTTGCCAAGAATCTGATTCAAAAGTGTGAAACTAAAACCAAAATTTTAAAATTATATATATATATATATATATATATATATGTATATATATTGTAATAGTGGTCCGTTCTGGTGTTCTGTCAAATACTTCCGGAATTCCAGTGAACATATTTTTGGCCATCAAATTCGGGCATCATGGTAGATATTGCGATCTATATTTGATGATTTTATGCAGATTACTGTAATTTCATTTTGGTAAATATGATGAAAATTTCGTTTTTCTTAATTAGCCCTAACACCATTAATATTTACTTACCATTCACATATAAGCATTACCTTTTTTATAGCATTCGAATTTCTTACTTGAAGCGGATACTGCGAGTATGAATATTCTACTAGTGCAATCAGTGATAAAACTAATTCTTTTTCACCTTCAATCTTTTAGCTACTGACTAGCCTTTCCATAACTTGAGGTTGACTCAATTTTCACGGAACGAACCATTGTGGTTCAAAAAGACGAACTTCTCTTTCAATTTCTATCATCGATGAACAGATGATTCGCTATGAGAGCGAACGTATAGAAGATGATAACAGTTTAGACTGTTTCGCAGGAAAGTTTCTTAAGTCCAATCGATTGGAACCGTCATACATTTTAGTGATAAAAATATTCTTTGACCTTAAAGTCAAATTATTACTAGTCACTGGAAAAGGATAATCTAATAATAAGACCCCGATGCTGAATTTTAAACAAGCGTGATACTTGTGGGACACTTCGTCACGGGCGCACATTATGCTTAAGGTGCGGCGTGCAACCTCGTACACGGATTGGTTGTGGAGAAGCACAGCCAATGACCAATAGAAATCCTGCTACAGAACACTACTCAGAGATATTTAGCTATTAATGTTCACTCGAATTAGGCTAGATTTATCTGATAACTAATCGTTTTGCCAAAATCACAATTCGCTATCAATATATGTACTGAATAAACGTGCTCCGTGCTACACGTCTGTTTCCTTTATAGCTGGGCTATAGCTTAGCTTGTTCCGGGAGTCAAGCTAGATGTTAGAGAATCTGCCATAGAAATTTCTGAGTCGGTCAGGCTTAACTAGCGTAGCAATCCGCTACAGACTCATTTATCCTCCGAGGATCAGACTAATGAATAATTTACATTCATTTATTTTTTAGTAATTCCATATAAACTTATCCAAAATGCCAATTTCTGGCTGGTTAAATTCATCCTATTTGTAGAGGATCCAGGTAAAAATTTTCAAAGTACATACGAATGAACTATATCCGCTGATTTATTTGTTTCATAGTAGCGCACATTAAGACATTATCTCGTCTGAAATATCCCGAAATTGCCAAATTACACTAGCCATCTATATAGTATCTTGTAGACAATTAAATATCAGACCGTTGCCACAATAAAATTGCACTCATTTCCCTACCTGGAATCCCGTGACATCACGATAAGAACCTTGTCTCTTGTGTCCTAATATTCATATGGGGACCCATATTTTGGACAAACAATTTAGAATGTTCATCTACTCATCTCAAGAGCGCCAATGAGCACAACTCCATTCCCATTTCGTCTGTCCTTATTCCATTGACCTTGTCCGTCTTTTTTTGATTTTTCCACTTTATATCCGTCAGATTCAACAAATT